GAGGCAGAAGCCCACCCACCGAGAGCCGGGGTCTGTCAGAGGTTTCTTCCGTTAAAGGAAGCTTTTCCTCTTCGCTGTCGCCGAGTGGTTTGTTGGGTTTTTCTGCTATAATAATAAGAATAAACCATGTCTAGACCTTACTATGTAAAGTGCCTGGGAGCATTTTTGCTGTGATTTGGAGCTATACAAATAAAACTGGATCGAACTGAAAATAAACTGCTGATTTTTGTGATGACATTGATTAGTGAGTTTCTGAAATCTGAATTTATTGCTAACTATTGATGAACAAGTAAAAGTAGTGAATGACAAACTGTTCAAACTGTAGTGGCCAATGTCTCGTGAGCTAAATTAATTCACAGACGAATCACTACAATTCCAATGATCATTTATTATTACAATAATTCAAAAAGCAGTTCAATAATTCGAGAGGCAGGGAACAGAATCACCTTCTCTGCAGAGAGCTGAACAGAATAGTGAATAAGAGAATTATTCGTGCATTATCAGTTGAATCAATCAGGCAGTCCTCTCCTGTCTCCCTTTTCAACTAGCTCCTTACTTGCTTACTCTCCAAATACAGCATAACGCACTACTTTTTAACCACTCACACCCGTACACGTCCATCATATTGTTTATACCAAATTCACAGTTTTATGTCAGCATTATATCACTTCTTCCAGGAACTTTTTGAAATGGGCAGAACATGAGCTTCTAGGTTGCACTAACCCACCAAGTCTCTCCCTTTTTAAGACATGAACTTGAGGGTGAGCACACGAACATTTAAACAATTTACAGAGAGCCTAACAGAGTACAGAGCACAGCTTGCAGAGATTATATAGATTATTATAAGCATTCTTAACTCACACTTACATAACTGTTACCTATTAACTACTACATATGATATCAATATGTAATCTACACACTGCTATTGTACTCTGCCTGTGCTCCATACACCAGGGCTGTGTTATGCTAGTAGCAGCTAATGTAGCCTGGAGCCCCTAAGCCTGAAGCTGCGCTGCCACAGGTCCGATCATCTCATTTCTTCCAGATGGCACTTTCTGCCCTCAACTGCTAGATAATCATGTTTCAGGCCTTTTATTTTATCTGTTTATATATTCATTTTCCATATTTTCTCATTTTAACAATGTTTCATCTTCAGTTCCTGCATTTTCTCTGACTATGGAAAGCACTTTGAATTGCCTCTGTATATGAAATGTGCTGCATTAATAAAGCTGCCTTGCCTTGTTTTACTTGTCAAAGCTGTAGTTTTGAGACCCAATGGATGCTGACTCCAGGGACATGAGGGACATGAGGATATTTATCAGACTTCAACCAGCTAAAGGGTTTATACTACAGCTTTTACTGATGCAGTCAAACTGCGCATCACCTGGAAACAAACACCATCTGGGGGGCAATGGAGGATGATCTTAAACATATCAGTCTCAGTTTATGGCAGAGTCACGTTTCAACCAGTCAACATAAACTAAACACAGACAGACAAACAGGCAGACAGAAAGACAGGCAGGTCTTACTGTGTCTGAAGTCAGTCATCAAAGTGAATCTTGAAGAAAATCGTGAAGAGGAGGAGTGATGAACCTCCTTCATCACCTGTAAATTAGGGATAGGGCAGGGATTAAAGTAAGTTAAATGGATAGCGACAGGAAAGAGACAAGTGGACAGACAACCTGGACAGGTAAGACAAGCCACTTAATTCCTCCTTTATTCCGTGAGGAGGATTAACCCCTTACTTACCAGAGTAGCACCCCGGTGTTCATGCAGGTGTTTGTCATCTCCCTCCTGGACTACTACACCTCCCTCCTCACTGTCTGCCATCAGAGCCAGCATTTTCCCGCAGCACAGTAGCAGTGAACATGACAAAGAGCCCATGGCCTGCTCATTTCCAGCCATTTAATGTTTAATCTTGGGTGCCTCTAGATTAGCTTTGCACCCCTCATAACTCCAAATTGTAATTATTTCACAATGATAAAACCCGAGATCCTCCTCCTGAAAAGGAGAGGATAGTTTATGAATGTGCACAACTCCTGTTGCTGGTGTTGTCTCGAAATCCGTTTCCCCTAACCTGAATCCTAACATCATCCTAATTACAACCACCGAGGGAGGTGCTACATGAGTTTTGAACAGGGGGAACTTCTTGACAGGGGAACGATGAAAACACTGACAAATAAGCTGCGTTTTTGACAATGACCGTATCTCAAATCCTGACATGTTCGAATCAGAATATGAAAGTGGGCACAACAAACTGCGATGGCATTAATTAATATGAATGTCTCCTCCATAGATAGGTAAACAACAGTATATGTACCGATGAAAAGGGATGTGTAACACTCTAAACAAAGCAGGTAAATGAGAAACCCAATATTTTAACTGGCATAATGCAGCCATAGTAACTTCTCCAGCCTTACAACAATTCCTTCTAACATTACAAAAACAAGGCATTAACAAACACACAACATGTGTTTTTTAAACTTACCGTTAAGTCCCAACAAGTAGTGGAAACATCACTCCCTTTCAAGTAGCTCCAAGGTTGGTAAATCGCTGTGGTCGCTGCGTCTTCCCCCACACGACCACATACAGTCCCAAAGTAGTGACAATGATTCCAACAGGTAGAGTAGCGCCGACAATAACATTATGGGCTGTCAATCCGCTGGTTAACCAGCAACACATCACATGCGGCAGACACACTGGCCTCAACCAGTCAGAACAACCAGGTACTGTGCTCCGGGGGAATCCAGCATTGATGAGCTGATCATTAACCACAGCAGGGGCTTCACAGGCAGCTGCTTGTAGGTTAGACTGGGTCAGGTAAGACATAGTCCCTGTATAGGAACATTCCCGGACATGCAGTAACCTCAGACCCTGTATTTTTCTCCACATCCTCTGGTCGCAGTGCAGCAGCAGGAGGTAGAATATATCCACCAAACCAGGAGAAGTCAGAAAATTCCTCTTTTACAATGGCACAGTTGATGTCAAGCAAGCTTACATGAATGCGCAACGGCCTGGAGATTATGACCATTCAAGGAGACGGTTAAACTATCACGTAATATTTTAAGTTGCTAGAAAAAAATTTCTCCCTAGTGAGAGTTTGCGAGAAGTGTATAAACCGAGTTGCTTCTGCACAGAAGTACTAGAACATATGTACGCCTCATTTTTTGAGCTTTAAGTCACGTCTAAGATGATAATTCACCGTTGTAACATTGTAGATAAGTAAAAAAACAAGGAAAGGCGCTGTGGGCCCTTTAAGTTATTTGTTTAAAAGGGATACACTCCTACATTAAGTAGTCAAATTTTGTTCCTATACAATGTATACATCATATGACACCCTTGCACCTGATGTTGTTTAAATACACTTATTTTATGTTGCTTTGGACAAAAGCCTCCAACAGTTAATGATGAATGTAATCTGATGTACCTGCATGGGTAGAGACAGTCTTCTCTCCAAGCTGATGATAGGCTGTAGCCATGCTCCTCTGCATAGTTGACTGGTTAGAACCAAAGGCCACACTTCCTTGTCTCCTAGTGTATGAAGCCCCACCCCCTCCCAGTGAGCTCCACCTAAAGGATGACATCATAATTTTAGTAATTCACCCTTCCTGTTTGATTTGAACAATGATTAGAGAAAAAAGGCAGACAACTGCTTCTTTAATTTGTGGTTACTCCACCTGCTGTAGCTCTAAACACTAACCGCTGTAAACACACATCAGTGTTTGAGTCTGGTTGTTAAATAGTTCCTTCTCACAGGTCAGTGCTTTCACCACCTTTCCCAAGAAGATGGCTTCTCAACTGATAAACATGTCAAATCTCCGCCACCTCTCAGCCACTGTTCTTCTTCTGTGCTGACAAATTTAATCAGTGTCATATTTAAATGCAACACACATCACAGGCGGAGTGTGTGTCTCTCTCTCTCTGTGTGTGTGTGTGTGTGTGTGTGTGTGTGTGTGTGTGTGTGTGTGTGTGTGGACCTGCAGTATCTGCAGTTATGACGGAAACACTTTAACCCTTCACTCTCCTGCAAAATAAAAGCCTGTCTCAGGTCTTTTTCTGCCTGTTCTGCAAACTGACTATAGCCGGGGACATGCCGAGACAAACAGCAAGAGGGACAGGAAACAGTGTGTGTAGGATTGTGAACAAAATGTGGTAGCGGGTTCACACAACACACAGAAACCATAAAACCAACATTAGGTATTGGAGTGACACCACTTTCACATCTGTATGCCAGATATGAAGCTACAACTGACAGTTGACTAGCTTACAGTAGCTTAGCATAAGCACTGGAACGCAGCTAACTTAGCTTTTCAGAAAGACAGCTAGGCTGGCTTCATCTCAAAATCCATCTGCCAACACCTTTACAGATCATTGATTGACATGTTACATCTGGTTTATTTAATCTGAATAAAAACTGAAACATAAAACTGACACCATGTAGTTTTCTGATGGCATTATGTGCCACACTATTCTGTGGACTGTGATTGCAGCTGAAGTCCTGTAATGTCTCTGAGGGAGTACGTCTATAATGTCAACATCACGTGGCACTCATCGTGATATCAGGGGCTTTCAATCACGCACACAAATTCCTTGTGTGTGTAACATACTTGGCCAAATCAAGGTGATTATTAGAACGTTTTTTAAAGCATAATATTTTCAGTCAGTGAGTGATTAAATAATCGTGATCTCAAAATTGACCAAAATAATTCTGATTATTATGACTTTTTCCATTATCGTGCAGACCTACAACAGACTACAAAATCTGGAAAATAAAAACAAAATAATCATGGAAAAATCCCTATTTCATCAATCAATGAGCCCATGAATGAATCAATCACCTGTGTCTCTGTCATTGAAGATCACAGACAGTCCTTCAAAGGACTCTCTCTCTCTCTCTGTCTTCATAAATTTCTCTCTGATCCTGATTCTCTCTTTCTTCTTTGGACGTTCGGCTCCCTGCTGTTGTTTTTCATTTGGTTTGTGTTTGTGTTGCTGTTAGTCACTTTACTTTCAGTAATGACATGCTGAGCTGCAGATTTGTCGCGCTGCTGCAGATCCACAGCAGCATGAAATCAAGCTGAACTGGATTTAATTGGCAAAGATTAAAAATAAACAACTGATGAGCAGATGAACAGTGAAGGAAGAGGCCTGAGGACAAGATAAAGTGTCATAATACAGCTGTAAAAAGACTACATGTGCTATGATTCAGCACATTGTTACGCATTTGTCTCAGGTATACAGAGTCAATCTGACATCATCCCTCAGATTAGAAACATTTCTCATGAAACAAACTGCGCCTCAGTTCAGTCGAGATGGTGAGCAGTGAGATAATATGCAGAGAGAAGCATCTTCCTCAGTGGACCCATCTTTGATCATGTGATATCATTTCATTAATACAATCGCAAATCACTAAATAGGTTCTGAACATCTGTTATCAAACTTTGTCATCTGATCACAGATCAGATTGATCGGTATAGTTTATCTGCTTATTTTATTGATTTAGACATCGGTTATATTTTGGAGGTTCACATATTCTGTCAACATGTACTCACTGACTTGTGGGGTGTTCTTTGTACGTAGACTAACAGGTTAAGCAGATAACTTTGTTGACTATTTCATATTATTTGTTGGTTCATCTGTTTTGGGGTGACAATGGTGCGGTGGGTAGAGCAGCTGTCTCCGGATCAGAGGTTCGAATCTCGGTGCCTGCAGTCCACATGTCAAAGTGTCCTTGGGCAAGACACTGAACCTCCCCAAGTTGCCCGTGATGGTGGCGCGTATGTACGCAGCGGCCCAGAGCCCTCGGCTCCAGATAATATTTCATTGTACGTGTCACAATGTTACAATGACAATAAAAATAAAGCTTCTTCTTCGAAGGTCTCATGGGACTTGTCATGGCAACATGTGCATAATCCCAAACCTAGTTGGTTAGGTTAGTTTTCCACCTTATTCAATGCAAACACAATAAAATTTAAAGGGTCTTGGAGCAGGAAGCGACTCATTGACATTGGAGCAATTATAATAAGGCATGAGTTTAAAGAAAACAGATGGTAT